CTCATTCCCTGTCCTCTGCTGAATCCAGCTTGCATTTCTGGAAGTTTCTAGTTAGTATACTGCTGCAAATGTTTTTGAATTATCTTTAGCAAAGTTTTCCTAATATCATTAATAGCATATACTATCAATGATATTGTTCAATAATTTACACATTCTGTTGGATGACCTTTCTTTGGAATGGGTACAAATACGGATCCCTTTGAGTCACTTGCCCAGGAATCTATCTTCCAAATTTATTGGCAGAAACCGATAAGTAAGTTTCTCCTGCATTGCCTCCATTTGTTGAAACATCTCAATGGGTATTTTGTCAATTCCTGGAGCCCTGTTTTTTGCTAATTCGTTTAGTACAACTTAGACTTTTTCCTTCAGTACCATTGGTTCTTGATTTTATGCTACAACCTGAAACAGTTGAACAGTGACCATTTCTTTTTGGTTCAGTGACACTGTATGCCTTTCATCTTCTTTTGATGTTTCCTTCGTGGTTCAATATTTTGACCATAGAATCCTTCAATATTGCAATTCAAAGCTTAATTTTTTCTTCAGTTCTTTCAGCTTGAGAGATGTTGACTGAATTCTTCTTTATTGGTTTTCTAAGTCTTGGTCTTTGAACATTTTATTATAATATTTTACTTTGCCTTCTCAAGCCACCCTTTGGAATCTTCCATTCAGCTCTTTTGTTTCACTTTAGCTACTCTCCATTCAAGAACAAGTTTCAAAGTCTCTTGTGACATCACTTTGGTCTTTTCTTTCCTTCCAGCCTTGTTAATGACCTTTTCCTTTCTTCATGTATGATGTTCTGGATGTCATGCCCCAAGTCGTCTGGTCTTCCATCACTGGTGTTTAATGTGTCAAATCTATTCTTCAGATGGTCTCCAAATTCAAGTGGTATACACTCAAAATCATATTTTGGCTGTCTTGGGCTTGTTTGAATTTCTTAAATTTCAACTTGAGCTTGCATATGAGCAATTGATGATCTGTTCCACAGTCAGCTCCTGGCCTTGTTTTGACTGATATTGAGCTTTTCCATTGCCTCTTTCCACAGATGTAGTCAGTTTGATTTCTGTGTATTCCCTTTGGCAAGATCCACATGTGTAGTGACCATTTATGTTGAAAAAAAGTATTTTCAAAGAATAAGTTATTGGTCTTGCAAAATTCCATCATGTAATCTCCAATGTCATTTTTATCATGAAAGCCATATTTTTCAACTACTAATGATTCTTCTTTGTTTCTGACTTCCCGATTCCTATCACCGGTAATCATCAATACATCTTGATTTCATGTTTGATCTATTTCAGATTGTAGAAGTTAGTAAAATTTTTTTTCAGTTTCCTCAATCTTTTCCTTTGGTGATTGGTGTATAAATATGAATAATAGTAGTATTAACCAGTCTTCGTTGTAGATGTTGGATATTATCCTATCACCAATAGCAGTGTAATTTAGGATAGATATTGAAACATTTTTTTGTGACAATGAATGCCACACCATGCCTCTCTTATTTGTCATTCCTGACATAGTAGAGCATATGATTGTCTGATTCAAAATGCCCAATATTAGTTCATTTCCACTCACTAGTGCCTAGGATATCGATTTTATTATTGCAGTTAGTTTTTGACAACTTCCAATTTTCCTCAATTCATTCTTCTAACATTCCATATTCTGATTATTAATGGATGTTTGCAGCTGTTTCTTCCCATTTTGAGTCATGCCTTGAGGTGATGTTAACCTATGAATTCTGATTCAGTAGGTGGGGGGTAAATTCTGAGTCTCCATTTCTAACAATCTTCTACATCAACCTTTGAAAAGCAAGGAAGTAGGGGATATTTACCATTAGTACCAATACCGACATACTGCATTTGTTTACACGGCCATACCTGGAAAACTTGACCTCCTAATTTGACTTCAGATTCCCTGGTTATGACATTATTGTGAGGATTAAAATACTATAACATATCTACTACAATATCTTGCCTATAAAACCAAAACAAAACCAGTTGTCATAGAGCCAGTTCTAATTCATGACAAAGCCATGTGTGTCAGAGTAGAATTTTGCTACCTAAGGTTTTCAGTGGCTGTTTTTGTTTTGTTTTTGGAAGTGCTGCCTGTTCAGCTTCTGATGTGCTGTCTCTCCAGACTTATTAGCTTAAATCCAGAGCTATCTTTGTGTGCATATGTGTAGTCACATTAAGTCTAGCTATTAGAAGGATTACATACTTGCTGCTGCATGTCTTAAAAATTTTATCTTTGAACTTAAGTTTTCTAAATAAAGTCCAAGGGGAAAATGGCACATGCATGCAAGTAGAGTAGATACACTTGTTGCAATGCCCACACATGTGGGCTTTATCCCTTGGGCAAGACTGGCATTTTGCTTTTACAGTGGGCCCCACAAAGTATGTTGCTGCCCTGGCCCAGATCTGTTCCTCCCATTTCATACTAATTTGTTGCTTCTGGATTAAATGTAGTCATTCACACCTTTAACAATTTGCTATACCCTGGCCTTAATCTTCAGGGTCCCAGTCAGTTAGCGAGTCTGATGAATTCATTACTGTTAGTATTAAAGTAAAAACTAACATATTAATACAAAGCTACATAAAGCATTTTAAATTGTTCTCCTCTAGAGAAGTCCCTATTTCTCAGTATGGATAAATAATCCATTAATACTTATTAGCCTAGGAGTAATAAGGATGTGAGAAGACACACTAGGGTGAATGGTGAAAGAGATTATTTGCAATCAACACATCTTTAGTATCACTTCAAATGCATTTATGCTTCTATAAAATACCTGCCAAAGGGGCAGAGAGGTGCCATCTTCTAACCTCCTCTAACCCCATAAAAGGAAGACAGAATTACCATAAGCAGCCCAAGGCCTAGTCCTGCAAGGCCAGACATGCTACCTTCCTCCACCCCTTTCACCAACCCTGACACCAACTGTTCCTCCTACAGCACCTCTCTGCTGGGTTCAATAATTAGCTGCAGTAGCCACACCGAACTCACAGATTATGGGGTATATTAAGAAATAAACAAGCTACAACTCAAGTTCAGAAATGCACTCAGTCTCTCACAGCCCACCGTCTCAGCTGACAGTCTCTCTTAGTCTCTCTCATCAGTGCATGTCTCATAAGGTCTCTCTCAGCAGTGTGTGTCTCTCATATCTGCCTCTCAGCAACGTGTATCTCTCATGTCTCTCAGGACCACATTTCTCTCAGCAGCATGTCTCTCTCAGCCAGCAGTTAGAGAGACTCCTTCTGCCCCAGAAGGACTCCTTTTGAGTCTGGCAGAGTGACCACTAACCAGTCCCAACCTCAGAATTCTATACACCAGAGAGAGAGGGAACTTCCCAGAAGATTGCTTCATGGTGGTTCAATAGAAATACCCCAGGTGAATAATTTTATTAATTAGGAGCTACTCAGTTGCTCATGGCCAATTCCACCATGGAGTTTATAAAGTTTATGGCTTGAAAAGCCACACTATGTAATTTACTACACCATGATACCAGAGCTGCATAATTTGCTTATTCTTACATTATGGGTTTATACAGATAGTTGTCAGTATTAAATAATTCACAGTTACATAAAACAATAAAATGATTTAATTAAATAATAAACCAAGTGTCTAATGGTAAACCCATGTGTGTAGGAGTATAACTGTGTTCTGTTTCATTTTCAATGGCTTATTTATTTTGGGGGCAGGGGATATAGGTCCTCAGGCCTTTCTTCAGAGCTGCCTCTGAATAGACTCAAACTTCTGGCCTTTAGGTTAACAGTTGTGTGCAATAACCATTTGCCCTACCCAGGGTTTCTGATTAAATCATCTGATATTTTAGACCAAATTCCAATATTATCTGATGCTTTTTATTTGTGAGCACTTTAACTGAATGCAATTCATTTTGTATCTAATTACATCTTCAGGGTCTGTAAGCATTGATCTTGCCTATATAAGAGAAAAGGAGCCCTAGTGGAGCAGTGGTTAAGTGCTAAGCTGCTAACCAAGAGGTTGGTGGTTCTACCTACCAGCTGCTCCATGAGAGAAAAGACCTAGTGAGCTCTTGTAACCATCCTATAAGTTCACTATAAGTCAAAATCTACATGATGGCAGTGCTTTTTTTTTTTTTTTTTTTAATGTTTACGGAAGCAGACTGCCACACTTTCGCCCAAAGAATGCTTGGTGGGCTAAAACAGCTAACCTCCCAGTCAGCAGCAAAGCTCTTAACCACTGAGCCACCAGGGCTCTTCTAGTAAAGATTACAGCCTAGGAAACCCTACAGGACACTTCTGTTCTGGTCTACAGGGTTACTATGAGTCAGAATTGACTGGATCACACACAGCAAAAAACAAACAATATGAGACAATCTATGAGAATTTTTTGTTCTCTTTAAAAGAGAGAGAGCTATTGAACATAAAATATTTGTTCTTTTTTTTTTTAACTGAATTCCAAATTTAACACTTAAAATTTTTGCTAAAGACTGCTAAGTATGCTTCAAAAACAAAGCTAGACAGAAATATCATGGGGTATCACATAAACATTTTTTAAGGACTATTTAAAACATGTGTGCATTGTAATTGTGGTATTTTTATACTAAACATGGAAACAACATTTTATTTAAAAAGCATTGTTTCAGTGTATTCTGAAAATAAGATATATAAGAATTAGTACATAACTCTGATTTTAAATCATTTAAACTGTTCTTGGTAAAATAGCAAGAGAAAGCGTTAAAGTCTTTGTCCATCTCTGCAAGGTTAGAACAATAGAAAAAGAAACAACTTTTTTTTTTTTTTTTTAAAGAGTAAGACTATTATCTCTACCATATTGTGTCTAAGTCTTGGTATTTGCACTCTACAGCTGTAGGTCTTGCTGCATGCCAGGAACCAGCCCTTCCTAGCAATGGCATCAAAACAGGAGATCGATACATGGTGAACGATGTACTCTCCTTTCAGTGTGAGCCCGGGTACACTCTGCAGGTATTTTTCTTTTGCATTTTCGTTAATAAAGCAACTTCAACACAATAATTCTAGGCCAGTGTTTCGGTTCCTTACTGCTGCTCTGACAGGAATATACCACAAATGGAATGTCTTGAAAAAATAGTTTATTCTCTTACAATTTTGGAGGCTTAAATCCAGGACCAAAGTGCCAGGCTCTGGGGACTGGGTCAAAGTCCCTCAACCTTGGCTTCAGCTCTGCCTCCTGCTCCCAGCCCACTGAAGCTGGAGGCTTTTCTTCACTCAGACAGCTGCTGGCTGCTGAAGCTGACAAGACCAAGGTTGACAACTAAAATGGCCCAGGCCCAATGCTACCAAGCCACATGGCAGGCCATTGATTCAAGTCCACTGAAAGTCTCAAGATTGGCAGAACATGGCAGGCTGCTCCAATGACTTGGCTATATGTAGAGTTCAAGTGTGCTATAAGCTAGAGACCGTTCTCAAGTCTGCTGCTTATATACGGGAAGCAGACCACATCTCTAAAACAGCTACTCAGCTGCTGGTGGTAGATTCCACCATGGAGTTGATTGTCAGTCTCATCATGGGAAATAACTACTACCATCTGCCCAGCCACTGAACCAGGCCCAGCCAAGTTGACACACAACCTTAACTACCATAACCAGCTTACTTAAAACATAAGCCCTAGATTTGTACCTTATGAGCTAATGGAAATCACAGTACTCATATTTTCCCAGCATGCATGTAGTCATAATTATCATGGGAAAATAGTTTCTAAATGATACAGCACTATCCCAAAGTTGAACATTTTATTTTCACAGTTATTTCATTTCAAATGGGTGCTTTTCCAACAAACATGCAGTTAAAATTCTAAAAGGTGAAGTATCTACACAGCCTCTTGATGGGTCTTATCTAAGCAATGCAAGTATTGGATCTGCGTTGGAGTCATGTGCTTGTTCTGCTTTGCAAACTGTTCTCATGATTCAATTTAATTAATTCTCATTAAGTACCTAACATGTGCGAGGTAGTATGCTAAGTGATCAAGTAATTTATTTAAATAATTTTTGAGAAATATTAGGTAGAAATTTTCAACATTGCATTTTAAATTATGAACTCATATAAGATTAGTTATAAAATAAAGTATAGCAACAGTAGTCAATTTTTTTGTAATTTATCCTGTGACTTTACCATGGATAAGCTTACTCCCAGAAAAAATTTTTCTACTGTCATTTACATAATTCTCTCTGCCAAAAATAAAACTTGATATTCTAAACGTGTATATTCCAACTTCAGTAGAAATATTTAAGTCTATTTGTATTTTCACTCTTCAGTTAACTCAGGGAAAAGAATATTTTTTGCTGTATGTCTGTTACAATATGAAGCCAATAATTTTTCAAAGGGATTTCTTTTATCCATGTTCTGCAGACTTAATAAATAAATAAATAAATAAATAAACATCCTAAGTAAACAACAGAAAGGCTCTCTGGCTGTGTAGTGCCTAAGGCATTTGACTGCTGCCCAGAAGTCTGGTGGTTCAAACCCACCAGCCAGTCCTCAGAAGAAAGATTGGGCATTCTACTCCCATAGAGGTACTGCCTCAGAAACCCAAGGAGAGGTCACTATGAGTAGAATCTACTTGATGGCAGTGAGTTGTTTTCTTTTTTAAACAATAGAAAAAAGTTGTAAAAATATACCATTGAGATGATACCACTGATTCAATTTCTGCATGTGTGTTGTAGTGAATATCTTATATAATTGAATCAAGTAACAACTGCTAGCAAATTCCGAATACCTTAAGGGTAGCGTAAGGAGTTCTGGTGGAATAGTGGTTAACTCATTCAGCTGCTAACCAAAAGGTCGACTGTTTGAACACAACAGCTGCTCCATGGGAGAAAGATGAGGCGATCTGCTTCCGTAAAGATTTATAGCCTTGGAAACCCTATGAAGCAGTTCTATTCATTCCTATCATGTCTCTATGATTCAGAATCGACTGATGGCAGTGAGTTTGCTTTGGTTTTTGGCTTATTGGAAACCATACTAGGTGTTTTACCTACAAAATTTCATATAATTCCCAATCAGCCATATGACAGCAATACTGTATTATTTGTATTGTGTTGATGAGGAAGTGAAAATTTAGAGAGTATTAGAAGGAAGGTTGGGCATTCCTACTTCCATAGTGATACTGCCTTGGAAACCCAAGGAGGGGTCGCTATGAGTCGGAGCCGACTCGATGGCAAATAACAACAACAACAGAGCAAAAGCGGGAACAGAAGCACCTGTGAGGTAGGCAGGAGCAGATCAAACAACACCACATGTAGGAATTAGCCCAGGTTTTAAGTTTAGATAAAATGTTTTTTAAAATGCCTAGTACACTTCGATAAATGAAAACGGTTACTACTGCTATTATTAAAAATAACAATATACAAAGGCATCTTCATGAAAACAAGCCCAAACATTCATTATATGGATCTCGGCAAGTACTGCAGTAATTGCTTTGTCTGTATAAAATTATGGACAGATCTTTGCAATGTAGAACAGATGTTCCTATAGGAAATATTTTCTGATGGATACTTGGAAAGACCTTCTGCAAGTTCTGCTATCTAAGCAAGTTGCTTGACAAAGCCTAGTAAAGCCATTGCAAGCGTTTTGTTAACACAAAGCTTTCCTATTTCACGTGTTAGAGTTTGAATTATAAGTTTTACTTAGAGGGAAATTTCTGAAAAAAAGCAAAAAAAAAAAAAAAAAGAAACAAGCAAATAATCATATAGTTTGTTTCTTTGGGTTAGGTTTATAAGAGAAAGCAGTGCTTGTCAATAACCAAATCTCAGTATATATCGACTGCTATTTTTAAGTGTTAGTTTTTGCATTGTAATTTATTAAGCCAACTAAATTAATTGCATATTCTGTCTCAACTCTACTCAACTCACTGCCGTGGAGTCGATTCAACTCATAGCTATCCCTCCTTGGGTTTCTGTGATAGTCTATCTCTATGGAAGTAGTTTGCCCAATCTTCCAAGGATATTCTGTCTAACCACTCCTAAATTCCCACTTTTAACACTTGCTCTGCTCATATATGTTCCTGTTTTCTCCTCTTGTTTATGATATTACTTTACAATTTCTGTAAATACTCTTGTATAAGTTATATTTCTACAGCCCTCAGAGAAGAAAGCAGCATTCTTTGGTAAGAACATTTCTTACAATGAATGTTTAATATGCTTTCTAGAGATAAAGGTCAACAAGAGCCCAATCAAGCTATTAGTATTTTTTTTTCAAATGCAAACTAAGCTTTTTTTGTTTTGTTTTGTTTCCTTCATTATAGGCAGGGTCATGCTTTGAGTTCACTAGTGGGTGATTTTCATTCATATGAACAAAAAAGAATTTTAGATTTTTAAAGTTTTGCTAACAAATTAATATATTTGTAAGACAGCATACATACATTACATAACACGAAAACTACCTTTACTGACATGGTTGACAAATGTCTATAAATACATATGCCCAGAAAGATTCATGGATATGTCATGAAGGTACCAGGGCATGCAGCATTAGAAGTAAATCCTGCGTATTTGAATGATTTTCATCTTCTCTAGACATGGTTTACTGTTCTTTTAAAATATGAAAAAAAAAAAAAAAAGAAGAATCCTGCTGGCTCAAAGCTAGCAAATAAATTATTCAGAATCCTGTCTTATTTTTGACCAATTATTAAAATTTTCATCACTAATATGAAATGTTTGTACAAAAATCAATATAGAATATTACTGAGATTTGTAATAAATGTTTCTTGAATTCCTAGTCTTCAACATATACCTTTATGAGTTTTGCACTTTGCTTGTACATATTTTATAAATAAATTTTTTATAACTAAGTTAATGGATCAGAGAACAAGTATATACAGAGGAGCATGAAATTTAGCAGAAAAGACATTGTCCAGAATGTCATCTTTGAAAACAGACACTGTCTTTCTTTGCTGTAGCTACTTTTAAAAATATTTGGAAGTACAAGAAAATTGGTTTTGTGGCATATGAATTAGGTCTGAAACCTTTTAAGCTTAGGGAATGAGTTTGTCATTGATAACTGCATTTGTACAAATTCTTGCTTGATTCATTCCCAATGCTGTTGAGATTATTTAACATGAGTTAAAGGTGTAATTTTTTCAACTGATTATATCCCAGCTGTGGGTGGTAAATGGAAATTCATGAGATAAGAAAGCATGACAGATAAAGCCATAGAGTGACACTGAAAAAATAAAAGTCTATATACAGAGCTAACTTTTTATGACCTTCTTTTTCATTGTAAAAGACATCTTACACAAAACATCTCAGAATTTAACTCTTTGCTTTATTATTATTATTACTTAGAAAGAAACCAAGAATAGATTTAGAAGGTTGAAGGTTGAAAGTTTCATACATTTAAAAGATAAAATAGATCTCAAGTGAAGATTCATGTAATTGCAGTCATGTTAACTTGATAGCTTGTAAGGCTGTCTGATAGTAATATTAATTAAGTCTTCTTCTCTGATGAAGCAGAAACTCACCCAGTTATTTGTGGAACAACAATGTCCTGTGACTTGTGCATGAAGCACAATCACAAAATTTACCTTTTCATAAAGAGATAACATATTGCTGACATTTTACCCTTCTAATCAATACTAGTCCTTAATCATTTTCAGCCTTTCCAACGAAAAGCCATCACATCACAAAAACTTCCTTTGTCCAATTGAATTCATTTTCTTTAAGCATTGGACAATGAGCCTGTCAATAATATAGCCTATTTGAAGCAACATTACAAGATTTTTCTTTTTTTTCCCCAGTGAGAAGAAATACACTGATTATGGACGTTTTTGGTGTTTTGACTCCATTTTTTTCTTTGTTAATAATTGTGAATAGAAATCTATGTCAGTAATTCTGATTTTATTTTACATTTGTAATAAAATGACAAATACTTTTCCAAACATTTAATCATTGAACACTATAATTTCAGTATGTGAGTTTTCTTTCATTTTCTTTTAAACAGGGTCGTTCCCACATTTCTTGTATGCCAGGAACTGTTCGGCGTTGGAATTATCCCTCTCCCCTTTGCATTGGTATGGAAACATCTTCTGTAATTGTGTTGCTGTGCATACATACTATCAATTGCATAATGATTACTTCCTTGTTTTACTATTTTGGGTTTCTAATATACATTTGTTTAAATTTCTGACTTTATAATTTAAAGTAAAGAAATGTTTAAATTTCTTTCAAAACAATTGTTATATAATAATAATAATATAATAGTGTAGTAGAAATATAACAAGAATTTAATATAGATCCTCTCTCATTGGATGAAGTAGCTCAGTTTTTTGGTGAGTATTTTAATATTAGCCTACACAGATTAGATGTAAGATTGTCAGCTCAAGGTGACAAATTAGAATTATATTATTTATATCAGAAGGCCAGTTTACTAATTTATGAGAATGAATGAAAGTAGCTTGTCTGAAAGTCTTAGTAGTTTTCTGTGTAAGGCTTTAACCTCAGCAAATCCAGGTTTTCTTAAGCAAAATTTGGAAACACAAATAACTGATTTGAAATTGAAGTCAGGGTATTTTATACACAAGACACAGAAGCAACCATCAATGAGAATGCTCTCATCAAGCCTGAGGAATCAGTCTGCCTCTTTTGGAGCCACCTACCAATTTTCATATTTAAAGAGGAAGAATTTATGCCTTGAGCATCCAAAACCTTTTAGAGTGTGGTGCCCCCAGAGCTTCCATATTATATGATGGGAATTTTAATGCTTCCTTGAGGTACCAGGTAGTTATCATTTGCTTCTATTACAGGAAATTCATGAAATGTAGAGACTGGCAAGTACTAAGGTATTCTTCTTGGTTCTCTTTGCAACTGTGCATGTTCTACCCTTTCAGTTCAGAACCGATAGCTCAGGTGCCTATTCTACTTTTTATCTTATCTGTGCTTATTGTCACAGCACAATCATTTCCCAACCTCCTTTTACTTTCAGAAGTTTCTGTTATAGGTAATAAGTATTTGGAATAGTACCTATAGCATATTTCTATTTTGAGCTCCAGATCTGGAGTAGTGCTTAAGGCATTTGACTTATAACCATAAGGCTGGCAGTTCAAACCCACAGCAATACACTTCCATAGAGATACTCCCTCAGAAACCCAAGAGGGGGTCACTATGAGTCGAATTGACCTGACAGCAGTGAGTTTGGTTTTCTTGTTTTTTGGAAATCTATAAAAACCAAAATCTAAACCCACTGCCATTCTCATTTCCAACTCATAGCTACCTCCATTGGGTTTCTGACTGGAAATCTGTAGGTGCTCCATAATCCATTATTCTTGAGTTCACTCCAATTTATCCTTACCCCATGTGTCTCAGATTAGAACAGCTCCATGGGGTTTTCTATGTTATAATATTAACAGCAGCAGATAACCAGGTTTTTCCTTTGTGATACTACTAAGTGGATTTGAACACAAACTGGTTGTGTCTCCTAGGTACCCTTATAGGTGCTCCAAAGTCAAATAAATCTCAATATACCCAACCTCCATTACTTATTTTCTTTTTTAAACATGTTCCCTTTCCCAACCCACTGCTTCAGTGACTGCCATTATTATCCATGTTTTTGCATAGACCACAGATCTAGATTTCTCCCTTTACCTCATTTCCCAAATTCAAAGGATTTCTCATACCTGTCAATCCTACCACCCAAATGCTTCCTCAGTTTTTTACCTTAGCTCTACCACCTCATATTTAAGCTCTCATTGCTTCACTCCTAAAATATTGTGTTATTTCTCCACATGATTCCCAAAGTTGTGGGTTGTGAAGTGCCATCAAATTATTTTTGACTCAGGGTGACCCTATGTACAACTGAACCAAACACTACCTGGTCTTGCACCATCCTCATAATCATTGCCATGCCTGAACCCATCAACATGGCTATTGTGTGAGTCCATCTCATTGAAGGTCTCCCCATTTTTTCTGACCTCTGCTTTACCAAACATGCTATCTTTCTCTATGGACTGGTTCCTTCTGACAACATGACCAATTTATGGAAGACAACATCTGGCCATTCTTGTTTCTAAGGATCATAACAGCTGTACTTATTCCAAGAGAGATTTGTTTGTTCTTCCAGCAATCCATGGTACATTCAATGTTCTTCAACCAAACCACAATTCAAATGCATCAGTTCTTTTGAAGTCTTTCTTATTCATTGTCCAACTCTCATATGCATATGAGGCTATTGAAAATATCATGGCTTTGGTCATGCACACCTTAGTCTTCAAAGTAACAACTCTTTTCTTTTGCAGAGGATTTTCCCAATACAGTAGGTCATTTGATTTCTTGACTGTTGTTTCCATTGGTTTTGGTTGTGGATCCAAGTAAAATAAAATCATTGACAACTTCAATCTTTTTACTATTTATTATAATGTTGCTTAATTGTCCAGTTTTGAGGATTTTTGCTTTCTTTATGTTGAGCCTTAATCCATACTTAAGGCTTCAGTCTTTGACTTTCTTCAGTACGTGTTTCAAGACCACTGTATTTTCACCAAGCAAGGTTTTGTCATCTGCATATCGTATGTTGTTAATGAGTCTTCCTCCAATCCTTATGCAGTGTTCTTTATCATATAGTCTAGGTTCTCAGATTATTTGTTCAGCATACAGATTGAATAAGTATACTGAAAGATACACCCTGACACATAACTTTCCTGATTAAAATCATACAGAATAACTACCCCCTTGTTCTTTTCAAATGACTCCCTCTTGGTCTATGTACAGGTTTCTAATGAGTATAATTAATGTTCTGGGATTCCTATTCTTTGCAACGTTATCTAGAATTTATTATGATCCACACAGTCAGACACCTTTGCATCAATAAAACACAGGTAAAACTCTTTCTGATTTTTTTTTTTCTTTCAGCCAAGATCCATCTGACATCAACAATGATATCCCTTATTCTATGTCCTCTTCTGAATCTAACTTGAATTTCTGTTGTTTCACTGATGCAAACTTTTTTTAATTATTTTCAGCAAAATTTTACTTCTGTGTGATATGAGTGATATTATTAGATAATGTTCACATTCTGTTGGATCACTCTATTTTGGAATGGGCACAAATATGGATCACTTCAAGTCAGTTGACCAGGTAGCTGTCTTCTGAATTTCATTGCTTAAACAAGTGAGCCACTCCAGAATTGCATCCGTTTCTTGAAACATCTCAGTGGGTATTCCATTAATTCCTGGAGCTTTGATTTTGGCCAATTCCTTCAATGCAGCTTGGATGACTCTGCACCTTCTGCACATATTAGACTTTCAATAATTTTGAATTAAAATAACTAATAAATGAATAAATATCAGAAAGCAATGGAACATTGTAAAACTATCACAAATGCTTCCTTCATAGTCACCTTCCTCCTTCCAACATTTGGATATTACTGTGGGTCATACTCAGAAGTCCATTATCTCTAAAATGATGGCTTTAGCTATCTCAGTATTTCCAGATGAGCTTTCAGGAGAAACAAATACAAATAATTTTAGACAAATATGAACAAAGGAAAACAATTTTGTAGGCACAATATATACTCAAAAGTGTCTTCTGATCTATCTACATACTGTTTATGATTCATTTTGCCAGGAAATATGATGTCATAGTATGCTGTTTAAGTTCCAACAAGTAAAACAAGATAATTCTCTTTTGTGTTATATGTTCTTCTGACAGCCTGATTTCCCTACATCTCAGATAAGTTGTATGTATTAAATGGTGTTTAGTGATATAAAATGTAACTACCCTAGCTGTAAAATAGGCAGAATTGTACACTGAGGGAAATGAAAACACACCAAACTCGTGAAACAGACAAAACCAAACTATACCTTTTAAGATAGTCCCATCCTGGAAATAGTAAATGTCCATCTTACATGCACCACATTTTTTTATAAGTAAAAAATGTCTCATTTTTTGAAAGTAATTAATTGTTAAAAAAAAGAGACAAGTTTGCACTAAATATGTCACCAAAAAACTTAAAATTATTTTTATGGAGGTTTAAACCCTCAGATTTCATATGGAAAATGATATAAGAAAATAGCAACCATATCTATCTTAGCGAGCTGTCTCCTTCCTTTCAGTCATTCATTTATATGGAACATCAATCCCCTTATTTATTTTTAAATGAAAAACTTTTCATTAAGCATGGGAATTGAAATATTTTAAACTTTGAAATGAAAGCAGTTCCTATAGACGTTATATCAAATAATATGCCATTATTCTCTCAGTATTATAAAGGAAATTGGTTTATTTGGATAGTTAACTTATACTAGGGAAATCTAATCAATTTTATCTTTTATTGAAAATGTTTGAAGAAGTATGAACTTTTTTGATTCCTGTTTCCTCCTAACATTTACAAATGAATACAGAGCTAAAATAATCAGTTTTTCTTCAGGAAACTCACAAACCACAGTAAGTCTCAGAGACTAATTTTGAAAGATTTCACTAATTTTGAAAGATTTTGATAATGTTACTTTTAGAGTAAGCTGAGACATTTTAGGATTAGACAGCAACAGAAAGATCCTATTTTACCTATTCTTACCTCACTGCCATTGAGTGGTCTCAGACTTCTAGCGATCCCTCCTTGGGTTTCCCAGGCAGTATCACTACAGAAGTAGATTGCCCAGTCTTTCTTCCGAGGAGTGGCTGGTGGATTTGAACTGCCAGCCATCTGGTTAGCAGTCAAATGCCTTAGGCACTACACTACCAGAGCTCCTATTTTACTTATTACCACCTGGAAATTTTAAGTCCTAATTTTAAAAAATAATCAGAGTAACGAGTACAATTTATATAACTCATTCTTCTTGTTGTGATTATTGTGTACCATGATTCAATTCCAAATGACCCTATAGGACAGAGGAGAACCGTGTCATAGGATGTCCTAGGCAATAGTCTTTACTGGAACAGATCATCAAGTCTTTCTCCCTTAGAGTGACCGATGTATTTAAATAGTAGACCAAAAGGTTAGCATCCGAGCTGCTTAACTACTGTGATACCAGAGCTCCTTTACATGTTTTACATGCTTCTTACCCAAACCCAAACTTGTCCTCAAGTTAATTCCAAATTATAGTGACCCTATATGAGTCGGGGCCAACTCGACGGCACATAACAACAACAACAACAAATAGGACAGAGTTCAGAAGGAAGATTGGACAATCTACTTCCGTAGAGATGTCACCTCAGAAACCCAAGGAGGGGTCACTAGGAGTCGAATTTCACTTGAAGGAAGTGTGTGTGTGTGTGTGTGTGTGTGTGTGTGTTTGGTAGGACAGAGTAGAAGTGCACCACAGGATTTTCCAGGTTCTAAATCTTTAAAGAAGTAGACTGCCTCAGTTTTCACCCATGGACCAGCTTGTGGGCTCGAAAAAGTAGGTGAGATGAAGTCTGGCCATTCTCACTTCTAAGAACATTCCAGCTGTACTTCCTCCATGACAGATTTGTTCATTCTTCTGGAAGTCCATGGTATATTCAGTATCATTCCCCAACACAGTAATTCAAAGGCATCATCTCTTCTTCAGTCTTCCTTATTCATTGTGCAGCTTTCGCATGCATGTAAGGCAGCTGAAAATACCATGGCTTGGTTTTGGTGCACTGGGGTTGTCATCTTTGCTTTTTGCCATTTTAAGGAGTTCTTTTGCAGCAGATTTCCCCAGTGCAGTAGGGCATCTGATTTCTTGACTGCTATTTCCTTGGGTGTTGACAAATATTTGGTATTTCACATAAAGAAGTCACATTGAAAGGTTATACTCTAAATATCAACAAAGTTGATGTTTTTGTAAACTTTTCTGGAATTCTTGACTTATACTGCACTACTTCATGTTTGGGACATGAAATATGATTCTCTATCTTAAAAAACTATCATATTCACTTGATTTTGTAAGACTTTTAGTTATTTCCTCATACCACATTTATTTTCTAATTTTTTTTCCTACTTTTACAGTAAAAAAACAAAACAACAAAAAAATCCATTACATGTTGAGAGAGATCTCTGAAAGAAGTCTTCCAAGCATGTTTAGCATAGTGGCTAAAGCACTTGACTGCTAACCAGAAGGCTGGCTGTTCAAACCCACCAGCCACACCTCAGAAGGGAGATGGGGCAATCTACTTTCCTAGTGACACTGCCTCAGAAACCCAAGGACAGGTCGCTATGAGTTGGTCCAACTCAACGGCACATAACAACAACAACATAATAATGGCATTATTAGAATATGAATAAAATATTTTATTGTGAGTACTTGAAAAAACTTACAACTTACTTGGATTATTATTTTGAAATATGTGAAACTCTCATTTTAGTAGGCCACAGATGGTGAAATATTTGAATTACATATGTTTCAACCTATATTATTTATCATGTTAATAGCAAATATTAAAAATAATTTGTTAGCAAATATTGGATATCAGTCACAATTCCTTACAGTAAGAACTTACATACAATAAAAAATTAAATGTCAGCTGCCAAGTTAAGCACAGAATTATGAATTTATATTCACACTCATCACCTGGTAAATCCAGGTGATGAGAATTAGCTAATTTGTAAAATTATAAAGCAATCAGAAAGTAAAGTATATTAGGTAAAATTTGAGTTCTAGAATCATGCAGATTTTGAATAATATTCTGGTTGTGCTGCTTACTAAGTCATATAGACTTACATAGATTTCTTAATATCTTTGCAAAGTGGGATGATAACACCAAGCCATTTAGAGTTGTTATGAAAATTAAATGAAATGATGTATTCATCTCAGCATAACACAGTTAAAAACTGATAGTGACTTACGCTACTCAATAAATGTTGTTGTTATGTTGTTATGTGCTGTGTAGTCGGACCCAACTCATAGCGACCCCTCCTTGGGTTGCTGAGGCAGTATCACTACAGAAGTAGATTGCCCAACCTTCCTTCCGAGGAGTGGCTGGTGGGT